CTGGAAAATATAAAGCAAAGAAGGATGTGAAGCGTGGGCTACCATGCACATAAGGGAAAAAAGGCATCAACGTCTATATATACTTTTTTTAAAAAAAAAGAAATACTTATTTTAATTCCATTTGTTGTTATTTTTATTTTTTTATTTTTTGAAGAGGTTTTTTTGCTATAGGGCATGTGTGCTCGCCAGAAAGACAGAGAGAGATAAAGCGAGAAATCACCCCCTAGGGAGGATGGCCACGTCGCAATCCCTTCTCCTCCATTCTCCTCTTGGGATCTTGGGCACGCACACACATGCGCCTAGCCAGGTCCAGGACTCGAACCGCGGTCGGCTACATGGGAGTTTAGCAACATAGCCATTACATTAACAGCTGGTCCCTTGTTATTATTTTTTAATTTGACCAGACAGAGAGGCAGAGAAAAGGAAGGTGCGAAAGCAAGCCACCAGGTCCAGGACTCGAACTGCAGTCAGCCATGTGGGGATCCAGTACTTTTAACCAACACGCCACCTGCTGGCCATCTTTGGAGAAGAGAATGAGGCCTGGGACTGGCGTGAGAGCATGTGCATGTCACCATCTATGAGTGTCTGTATCATGAAGACAAGAGGCAGGAAGGTTCAGTGCAAAAGGAGCAGCTGATAAAATAATCCTACAGTGGAAATATTAGACTCATTTGTTCTCTAAGGAAGACCAAAAAGGGTATAGAATATTTTTTTCTCATCTGGTACATGGGAAAGTTGGAGAGTGCACTTGCTCTAAACCGTGGTTCTCAACCTGCCAGCTTTAGAGGCTGTGGGTAGAGCACAGTGATTGACTCATAGCGAGCACTTAGTAAGAGTTGTTTTTGACTGAGTGAATGAATGAGTACTTCTTGGCTTCATGAGGGATGGAGCAGGTAGGAGAAGTAACTCCAGCTGCACTGCTCCCCTGCTCCCAGTACAGGAAGCCTGCCTCTAAGGGAACCTGTGGACAGTGACTCACCACCCGACCCATCATTGGTGCAATGTGTTTTTACTCTTCAGAGATGCTGGGCAAACGAGGAGCTCCTGAGAATGATACACAAAGAAGTGCAGGACAAGTATGTGTAGAATTTTCTTGAAATAGCCTCTGGAAAGGCCAGCACATGGCATGGTGGTTAAAGCACTGGACTCCAACATAGTCAACCACAGTTCAAGCCCTGGATTGAGGGGTAACCAACCCCTTCGGGGGATTGATTTCTCACTTTCCCTCTCTTTGTCTCTCTCTGTCTCTGTCTCTCTGGTGAGCATACATGCCCTATGGTAAAGACCTAAAAAATAAAAAGCCTCTGGGGAAAAGCCCAAGTTTCTGCTTCCCTCTCCAGTTATCAGAATTACCGATAACAGAGAGATGAAGTTTAGGAAAAGAGACTTTCAATTAGTGAGTAATAAAAGCCTTTCTTCTTTCAGTGCACCCAGCAGAAAGAAATTATCAAGAAAGAAAAAATACCGGATGAACGTAGAAGATATAATGCTAAGTGAAATAAGCCAGGCTATTAAAGACAAATACTGTAAGTCCTTACTTAACATTTACGGAGCTTCCTCACTCCTGAGCAGAAACCAAGGATAGCGGAGCAGTAGAGAGTGATGGTAGATACTAGAAGCTGCATAGGTGAACTGGGGTGGGGTGGGGCTTGGGAGAAAATTATTAACAAACATAAGAATGCACGTAAAATTGGAATAGGTTGGGACCAGCAGATGACATAATGGTTGAGTTGTTGTACTCCCATGTAGTTAATTAATCACGGTTCAAGTCTCAGACCCAGCAGCTTAAAACTCAAGCTGGGCATGTGCGGTTGCATGCCCAAAATCCTGAGAGGAGAATAGAAGAGTGGGGATTGCAGCATGACCATCGCCCCCTTCCCAGCCCAGTGTGATTTCTTACTTTCTGTCTCTCTGTCTCTCCAGCAAGCACACATGCCCTATAGCAAAAATATCTCTTAAAACAAAAACAAAAACAAAAACGGGGACCGGCAGATGGTATGGTGGTTAAGGGTCCTGGACTCCCATATAGCCAACCATGGGACTCAAGTCCCGGACCCGGTGGCTTGCTTTCTCACTTTTTTTCTCTCTCACTCTCACTCTGTCCCTCTCTGGCCAAATTAAAATAAATAAATAAATAAATAAATAAATAAAGTTAAATAAAATAAGTGTTTAAAAAATAAATAACAAACATATTGTAGCAGGTGGTGTGAAGGTAAAGCGGCTGGATCCCTCATGGCTGACTGCACAGAGTCCCAGACCCATGCCTTGAGAGACACACAAGGTGCATGAGCAAGTTTGCCCAAAATCTCAAGAGAAGAATGAAGAGGGGATTGCTAGAGGGCGCATGCACTAGTCAGAGAGAGACAGAGAAACAGAGAGGGGAAAGTGAGAAATCACTCTCCATGGAGAATGGACACACTGCAATCCCTTCTCCTCTATTCTCCTCTGGGGATTTTGAGCACGCACATACATGTGCCAGTGTGTTTCCAAGCAGCTAGGTCTGGGACTTGAATCACACAGGCAGTCATGCTGCCTTAACTTTCACACCAACTGCTGGCTCTAATCTTTTTATTTAATATATTGCAGGGGCCAGCAGGTGGCATGGTGGTTAAGGGCGCTGGACTCCCATGTGGCTGACTGAAGTTTGAGTCCCAGACCTAGCGGCTACCTTTCTCACTTTCTCTCTCTCTCTGTCCCTCTCTGGTCAAACTAAAAGAAATAAATAAAATAATTTAAAAATATATATTGCAAACATTTTCCCAGTTCATTATATAATCTTTTTTTAAAAGAATTGTTTTATTTAATTTTACTCATTGTCATTATTTTATTTATTTATTTTTCTTGAGGTTGACCAGAGAGAGACAGAGAATGAGAAAAAAGGAAAGTGAAAAAGCAAGCTGTGAGGTCTGGGACTTGAACCGCAGTCAGCCATGTGGGAGTCCAGACATTTTAACCACCATGACACCTGCTGGCCTCATTATAAAATCTTTAAAAACAATTTTTTTTTAAAAAAAAGAGTTAAATCATTATTTAACCAGTTCCCTATTCTAATAATTCACTATAATAAAAAAGCATTTGGGGGCTGACTCCGTAGCCTGAGGGTTGATGGGTCATGTGGGATCTGTTTCTCTTAACCACTAGGCCATGGGGCCATACCCCTACCTTAATTTATCCACTTACCCTTTCCCCACAAAAGCGAAATGCCGCACTTACCTTACAGTGAACATTTAAGAATAGGTATACTGAGGGACCAGCAGTTAGCGTAATGGCTATGTGGCTGGACTCCTGCGTAGTCAACTGAGATTCAAGTCTCGGACCCGGTGGCTTAAACTCATGCCGGCTGCGTGTGCGTGCGTGCCCAAGATCCCGAGAGGAGAATGGAGGAGAAGGGATTGCAGCGTGACCATCCCCCCTGGGGGGTGATTTCTCGCTTTCTGTCTCTCTGTCTCTCTCCATCTGTCTGGTGAGCGCATGCGCCCTATAGCAAAAATCTCTCAAAAAAAAAAATAGGTATACTGAACATTTTTAGGTTTTCAACTGTTCCACTGATGTGTGATGTAGCCACTCTTGTGTCAAAACCACACTCTTAATTATAGCTTTGTAATATGCTTTAAGATTTGGTAATACAAGCTATTCCCCATCTTTAAAATACGAATTTCTCAGTTTTTCTCCCGTATATTCTTCCATTTGAATGTTAGAAATATCCACCACGCCACCTGCCGGCCCCTAATTTTTGTAATTTCTTAAGAACCTGCACATTTACTAAGTTTAATTCCTAAGTATTTTATACTTTTATGAGTAGATTGACATTATAACTGGTTTTCAAGATCTGACGATTACTTTAAAACATTTTTGCCAGATTTATCTTTCCTTGAAAGAAACCAGTTAGAAACGAGAGTGTGACTCTGACAGTAGTTACTGTTTATATCAGGCATGGTGATTATATCTTTTCATGCAACATCTCATCTAGTGACAAAGTCTCTCCAGCAGGATGGTGCAACATTTATTCCTGCTTTACACATGAAGGATCCCAGAGTTGGAGGAATCTGGCAAAAGCAAACAAACAAAAAAAATCGAGACAGCCCAAAGTTGTGCCCACTCCAGTCTTTCTGAACTCAACCAAATGAATTAAAAAGACAATGCTTTCTTTCCAACCTTGGGAAGCTGCAAAAAGACCGATTTTCCTCTAGTGCAAGGCGTAGAAAAATACTTTGCAGGAGCGTAATAACTACAGTGACTTTCTGAGCTCCTCTAGAATTAGGGACTGGTGGGTAACCAGGAGTGCTTTTCTGGAGCTTTCGTGTGAATGTTCCGTTTGGAAATTTATCCCATTATCTCAGGACAGTGGAGGCGAAAACAGGTGGAAGCGACCTCTGGAAAACCAGAGCAGTGCACACGGAAGGCAGAACTTTCTGGGGCCATCCCGCCCGCGCTTGTGGTGGGCGCAGGTGGCGCCGCGGTGCCTGCGATCCCGGAGCAAGCCGGCGGGTTGCCAAGAGGCCACCTCGAAGCTCCGTGAAGGTGAGAAGAAGCTTTCCTTCTGGACGAGAGAGGAGGGCGGGCAGGAAGCGGTGCAAGGGCTAGAGGCTC